GAAGGAGGATAAATATGTGATTGTGAATTATGAACAGAATAGTGTAGTATCTTAATTAAATTGTTATTGAATAATATAGAGTATTTGATGCATGTTGTTTGTGCCATCAAATTATTATCAACTGTTTTTGAAACTGAAGACTCTATATAGTCAATGGTTGTGAAATTCTCCTCAGGCTTTTCAAACCCTTGCATTGTTGTAAAAGCTGAAATAAACAGCTTGCAAGATAGTAATTGTATTTCTTGCTGACCAGATCCTACTAAATACTATTGATTTCTCTGATTACAAAAACTCATTGTTTATTATCAGTAGTTTCACCCAAAATGCTTTTTTCCTTTGCCAAAGATAAATTGAATAGAAAGAAGATGACAAATTTTAAACCACATGGTGGTGTGTGTCCCCATGGTGATCTTTGTTCAAAGTAATGTATTTATATTCACTGTTGCTGAGCTCCTCCAGTTTTGCATATATCCAAATTAAAAAGTAGAGGTAGTCTGAAAGCTTGATTTAGATTGTCTCCATTTGGAACGTTGCTTTACTGGAGTTCTGTTTAATGCCATTAGTCCAAAAACTCATTGCTCCAGTTTCAGCATTCAGAAAAGGTATAGACCCCTTAATTCTGTAGGTATTCTATGGTGAAGAAAAAGGGTAAAATAGTAAGCATAGAAATTCTTCTGGTATCCTCTGGCAAACAGGAGGAATGGATCTTGTAACTAGTATACATTGTAAAGCCAATGTGCCTATATCTCCTGTTTTCCTTCTAATGAGAACCTAGAAAAATCTCTTCCTTCATCTACACATCACTTCCTCTGTCTGTAGTTTATCAGTTGTTTTATAAGATTATGTTCATCTGAACAAAAAAAGAATAAGAAGAACATTAATAGATCACTAAAAAGGGAGTATTTAGCATAATACTTTACAATTTACAGTAGTATTATGTTTGTTCACGTAACAGAGTCCAGAATCTTCTTCCCTGAATTACAGTGTATACTTCTCCAATGGCTTCCCTTTTAAAGGGAGGGCATATATATGTTGCTTCTTTCCTAATGTTAGCAGTGTCTTGGGAGATTTCTGTTTCCTGAAATACCATTTCGGTTAAATCTTCTACATACTGTATGTACTAGGTCACAATATCAGGTGTGAGCTCCGATTGCCAACTGTAGTTTTTTTTAAAAAGTTTGAACAGTCTAGATTGTGTAATGCCTATTACACAATTAGATAAAGTATAGTGTAGATCCACAACTCAAGAGCCCTTCAGATTGTAAGCACTATCCTTAGAATGAGAAGATAGGATAGTTCTCACTTAGGCTTATAAAACGTTTTTCTTTGCTAGCATGTGACTCTCACTGTGATTCAGTGAGACCAGAAAAAAATGCATGAAAAAATTAGATCTACAAATGGCACCCAAAGACCATGGCTATCTTTTACTTAGGTATATTTCAACCTCCTAATCACTAAGCATTTTACTATAATTGGGGACAAAAGTTTTCCTTTTGAGTAAGTTGAATTTGTTCCATCTACCTTCTGGCTGATTTACCATAACAGGTGGCAAAAGCCCATAAAAATGGGGAATATATATGTCACTTTCTTGTAGGCCCAAAATATTCATTTGCTGGGGGGTACTGTCCAAATATCACTCATTTTAACTAAAGGAGCAGTAAGAATATTAAAAGATCACTGATAAGGAATCTTTAGCATAGCATTTTACAACTTACAAAATTTTTTTAAACAATGGACTTTCCCATTTCTTTAAGAAAGTGTAGACAACTTGCATTCCTTATACCAGACTCAATGCACAACTTAGTCAACCTGATATCCTTTGGTGCTATGCAGTATCACAAATAGCTCCTTTACTCTATAAAGGAACCCATTTTACCTTTGCCTAATCCTTTAAACATCCTTTTGAAGTTGCATCTTATGGTTTATGCTAACCCAGTAAAGGTAGTGCTAGCTGGCTAAAATTTCATGATTCTTATGATCTGTATTTTTAGTTATAATGGCCAGTATACCCATTAGTACAACTCTTAATCCCCACCCCGCCCCCACACTTTTATTTGGTTAAAGTGCTGTTTGTTTTAGAACTGTGCTGTAAGCAAGGCTAGCACCTTGCTGCATCCTGCTGTATTACGAATCTCATTTGCATCTAATTGAAACTTTTCTACTTTATTTCCTCTTTTGTAAAATAAATTGGCCCATGCCACTTTAAAAATGTACTTTAAAATTATGGCTTAGTTCTAGTTTTTTTAAAAAGCATATGGCTTTTAAAAATACACATAATTTTGGTTACCCAAAGAGCTATGCAAGAAATACAATTTCAAATTTTATAGGTAGATATATTTTTTAAATTTTATTACTGTATACAAATGTAAATTAATTTGTAAAATAGTTTATCACCTACTGTGATAGGTATCAAACTGCTTTGATTGAAAATCTCTGTCATGAATACGATTCATTTCATATTGCTGATATATTAATGACGTGTTCCTTTTATGACATTCTTGTAACAAGAAATCCTGTGAGTCTGGTATAATAAAGTGTGTAATAATTAGAAGTTTACTTAAAGGAGAACATGTTTAAAACTTCAACATTTCTTGTTATGCCATGATACCTCCAGTTTTTGGTTACCAAAAAGTTCCCAATTCTTGCACTGAAAAACATTCAAATAACAATATCGTATAGGTTACATTGAAATATTGTCAATATCAATGATTATACTCATGTAACCCACAAACTATTAGAAATTATATCTAGGACTTGTTACAAGGTAAGATAGGTTTTTGTAAACTTTTTAAAGTTATTATCATCTCTTTATGTAACTGTATTAAACTTAATAATGAAGTTTTCAGGGAAGGTACACTTTAAAAATACTTTTTCTTGCTACTCTGTATATTGACCAAATAATCTCACATCTTTGTAATGCTTATTCTTTGGTTGCTATTGGTTATGATAGTTCCTGCATCACTGAAATGTTTCTTGTTCCTTTCATAAGTGGGCTCAGCCCAGTTGTCTGTTACACAACCTCTGCTTTAGTTTATTTTGATAAGACAATCTATAAACCTCAATATTTACAGTGAAATTCATAGTCTTGAAACCGACCTTAGTCTTTTTGTTTTTGCTCCCCTAATTGGGTTGGCCATCCTCACTAATGACTTCTCTCTGAACAGTATTTTCTTGGTAATGGTAGATTTGGATTCATTGCATGATAAAGATGAGTGCCCAGTTTAACCATGTGTATCTTTTTCAAATAAACTGAGTACAATAACACCTTCTAATTCTTTAGTGTACTTTGGTTTTTAATTATTGACTAGAACTAGAAACTATCAGTAGCCTTTCCTTGCCTATCTGAATTCTACCTTCTGTGAGTCCTAAATAAAGGTCCCCCAAGAGAACAAGCATGATTTTTCAGTAAAAGCAGAAAGCATTCCAGTCCAGCATGATCACTATTCACCAAAAAGGCTTGAATAGTTGTACCTGGTGAACTCTCAGCCACCAGCACTGTGCCTCTCAACCTTTAGAAAACTTCAGGTGTATAATTTTCTCAGTAAGTTATTAATATGCTTTGAAAGAAGGGCTAAGGGAGAATTTTCTATGAGTAGAATCAATATTGGCAGAGGTGAGTAATTCACCTTACCATCGGTGAGAGTTCAGCCTTTCCATGACTTAAGAAAATATTTTGTTACCATCCTTTGATTTATTCCACAGCCCTACTGTACTAGTAATTGAAAACCATTGTTTTCTTATATGCTTTTAATTGTCAGCCGGAGATTAATTAACAGTAACTTGAACTAAATACTAGAAAATACTTGAAGTAAAAAACAAAATTCCACATTGTTTAATTTCCTTAATTACTGAGTCTTTTGAGCCCTTTTCATGTTAATTGTCCAGTGGTACCCAGTTCATAACCTTTAGCCCACTGCTTGTTGCAGGGAATAAAGACTGTCTTTTTATTTGTTTCTAAATATTTTGAACTATTCCACATCTCTTTGTTCTCTTGTGCAAAATTGTCTTGACTGTTCCTGGACCTTTATTGTTTCAGATAAATTTTAATATGTGTATCAAGTTCTATAAATTTTAATATGTGTATCAAGTTCTTTATCTCTTAAGGATTAGTTTTGAAGGCTTAATGTTGCTATGGTAGAAAAATATCAGTCTTTTCCAGCATGGATGCCCTAATAGCTTCACACTTAGAATTGTTCCAACAGAAATGAGAACTTTACCGTCCAATAAGTGGCTAAAAGGAAGGTTTAGGACAGCTGTGGGAACACTGATACATAGTTTTATAACATATGTAATCTGGGTTTACCTTGTATGTTCAACTTTCGTAAACTATGCTAAGTTGAAAATATTAGATCTGGCCCAGGGCAAGGGACTTGGCCCTTCCAGTACTCATAATAATGTCCCACCTCCTTAGCTGTTTAATCAATAAGATCATAGTCTATGCAGGTCGCCTCTAGTACACTGAACCTATGTTTCATCATAGCCTAGCAACAGAATGCACTATGGGATAAAATTGCTGTTGTCCTCCTCTCTCCCCATCCTGTGGCTGAGTGGGAGTTGCCTGTCATTGCATCTTCCATGCATTGTTGGCCTAAGATCAGATCAAAATCAAAGATTTCCACTGAATGTACAGCTTTCACATCATTATTATCAAGTCAGGACATCCTAAGTTGGAGACTGTTTGTACATTAATTTGCAATAGACATATCACACCTTAAATCCCAAAGTGCTGAGCTTATGTGAACACCTTCAGATGAAAAATTCAAATAAAACCATTGTGGGCCTTTAGTTTGATGCACTCTGTACTTATAGAGAATTCTGCATCTACTTTACTAAGCTAGCTACTAAGGGAACTCCAGCATAACATGATGAATGCAGATTTTTGAATTTCAAAAGGAATAAACTTAGTAGTTTCTGAATTACTATTAAATCTACATCATTTTTCTCTTTAGGAGAACCATCAACCAACTGTGTGCTCTTAATAAACACAAGGTAATCAGTACTAGTGGCAGAATATTATATTCTTAGCCTCCTCACAAAGGCACAGCATACATAGTTCAAGCAGCAAATCTGTGATGATCATCAGAACTCTGGCAGGGGTTACATAACATTTGTTAAACAATTGCACTTTTAGCCATTTCGTAAGTTTATAAGACCTGGCCATATGCATTAGATTTTATATATATATATATATATATATATATATATATATATATATATATATATGTATGATCTCAATCTTATATATATACATACATGTGTATATACACATTTTTCACCAATACAGCATATATACTGTCTGGAATCCATTTTTCAAATGTCAACTTTAGTGTCATGGTGACCAAGTTATGACTAAACTAAATTAGATGTACTGATATATTCATTAATCTGACTTAGGAAGTTGACACAAAAAGAATCATCTTTTTTTAAAAAGAGAAAATCTTTGGTGACATGTTGTTAAAGGAATCATAATTCCAGCATAAGGAGAGAAAAACACTCAAAATTAGAAATTACTCTAAATTACAAGATTTAATATAAAGCATCAAACCCATTAACACTTGTTTTTTTAAAAGGTCACCCAAATTAATCCTAGAGGTCTGAAGACATAATCTATTAACAGGCCCCTCTGTATGTGATATTTTTTAATACCTTTATTTTATTTATTTATATGTGGTGCTGAGGATCGAACCCAGGGCCTCTCATTCATTAGGCGAGCACTCTACCGCTGAGCCACTACCCCAGCCCTTGTATGTGATTTTTAATGTCTATCATTAAACATCTTGAAACTTAATTTTTGAAAGAAAACAGTAAATCACAGTGGCCATTTAAAATTCTATAAAATACCAAATTCAAAAATTACACGAAATGTTAGAGCCAGGAGGCAAGAAAAGAACTACAAAAACAATCTGGGAAAAAAGACTCTTTTGAGAGGTTTGATAAACTCAAACACCTTTCAAATTCTATTACCCATCTCTGTCCCTGTTGTCTACAGAATGTTCTTGGTGCCTGGCACAGGGTCTTGGTCCAGGGGATGTCAGAAGCATTTGCAAATTAAACAGAAGGAGCCTGCAAATCCTGTTTTTTGTTGTGAGGAAGAAATGGGCAGTAGCTTTTAAACCAAGTTGAATTCCCTTAGGTTTAGTTGCAGAATTGTGTCTTTGACAGCAGCAAACACAAAACGGATATTCTCTGTATCTGTAGCACATGTGAAGTGGGAATAGATGACTTTTTCTTTGTCAGGATTCTGGTCTTGATAAAGCTTCAGAATAAAGTCTCTGGCAGCTTTCACATCCTGTTTTGGTCCTATTCACAAGTGCAATTAGAAGAAGAAAAATATATAGACTTACTACCACATCCTCCCAAGAACCAAGAACTTTTTTTTTTTAAATTGGTTCTTTTTAGTTACATATAACAAAGAAAAATATATAGACTTACTACCATATCCTCCCAAGAACCAAGAAATTTTTTTTAAATTGGTTCTTTTTAGTTATATATAACATTAGGATTCATTTTGACATAATTTGTTCTAATTCATAATTTAGTCCCCAGTACTTCCCCTTTTCCTTTCTCTCTGCCCACCCACTCCCCACCTCACCCCCCTACCCCATTCCCTTCCCTCTACTCTACTGATCTTTCTGCTATTTACTTGCAGTTTTATGGCATTTTTTGTTGCTGTTTTTGGGGATTGTTTTTGGTTTTGTTTTGTATTAGAGGATTGAACCCAGGGGCGCTTAACCACTGAGCCATATCCCCAGCCCTTTTTATTTTGAGACAGAGTCTCATTAAGTTTCTTAGGGCCTCACTAAATTGCTGAGGCTGTCTTTGAACTTGCAATTCTCCTGCCTCAGGCTCCTGAGCCACTGAGATTACAGGTGTGCACCACTGTGCTGAGCTTTTTTGTTTGTTTCTGTGGATGTATATGATGGTAAGATTCACTGTAGTACATTCATATATGTATATAGGAAAGTTAGGTCAGATTCATTCTACTGTCTTTCCCTATCCTATGTCTCCCTTCATTCCCCTTTCTACTCCACTAATCTTCCAAGAACCACTTTGAATATACTCTTGTTCTTATTTGGGGTCCTTCTTTGATCTATCTTACTTTATTCCTAGGGAACAGTTTACCTGGAGCATTATTTTTATTATGTCATTATGAGTGCATATAATAGCATTGCACAGTGTTCACTGTTATCTAAAAATTGTACTTTAAGATCATTTGTATAAAATAGTGGCCCAATTTAGTTTTTTGATTTGGACCACTTTTGAACAAAGATAATTCTTATTATCTTTCACAGATGTAGACTAGAGGAAAGAGCAAAGGAATTCAAAATTAGAGGCTAGAAAGCTTGAGGGCTCTATATTTAACAACCACTGTGGCTAATAAAAGGAAAAAAGAGTGATGAGACACCAACCCTCAGTGTCAAACAGTAATATCTGAGAATTATAGGAATAATTCACAACAGGGCAAAAAACTCTCCTGCTTTGAATATGTGTATACATAAAGGGCTGATCGCCTGTGTCTGGGAAAGGGGATGCCACCCCCTAACCTATGAAGCACCAGCTGCTCTGACTGGCTCTGACTGGGCAAAGATAAATTAAGTAGCTGAGTAGGGAGAGAGCTGAGCAAGTGAGGGGACAATGCTACACAACCAGATGACAGCCAAAGGAGCAAGAGGAGCCAGTGTAACACCAAGGAGGTGGCACACTTATGCAAGCCCTTGCTTGTTCAAGGAAAGGTCAGAAAGGCTTCCCAGTAGAGAAGCATGAACTGGGTCCTGGAGAGCCAAGAGGAGCCAGCAAAAGGAGTTGTTAAAAGTGTATTCCAGGCACTGGGAGTGGCCTGTGTGGAGGTGCTAAGGGGGAAACACACAAGAGTCCAATGAGAGCTTCCTTTCAAAGGTGAGGAGGCCAGAGAGGCTGTTTTGGGCAGATTCAGGATAACCCCTGTAAGCTATGCTGAGAATTCAGAATTGATGCCTGGGAGGATGACGATCAACACAGAAGCATCATCCCCAAGATGAACACTTACCTGTGTATTCTGGGAAATAGCTAATTAGATGAGAGTACATGATTTTCTCTTCCAAAAGATCCTTCTTGTTTAAAAACAAAATCACAGATGAATTCAAAAACCAGGGGTAGGTGATGATGGTTTTAAACAAGGCTTTGCTCTCTTCCATGCGATTCTAAGTGAGAAAGAAGTGACTTAGGATAAACTGGGAAAAAAAAAAAAGACAATATTTTGGAAACAACATGCCAAGTGGCTAAGGCACCCTGCTGCAGGCTCTGGGTTCCTGCTCTTATTGAAGTTGGTGAGCACACGGGCCCACAGGGTACTATATCCTGTGCTTCTATTTAACCCTTCTCTCTGGAGCACCCCAGATCTTCTCTAGACCAAAACTAACATGTAAGGAAATAAAAACTTTTGTGCAACTTAGAACAGGAAGGTTTATGTCTATATTTGGCAAAAATTTTCCATGTTGTATAATTGTTGGGATTAACAAGTGGAGAAGTACCAGCTTTTATACCTGAGACAGCCACTCAGCTGGATATGGGCTTCCAGATTGTTCCTCGAGAGTCACGTGACATAGGAGGAAGGACGGTTTTTCCAGCAAGATCATGCCCCTAGGAATGCTAGATGCTGGCCAAGAAGGGAACCAGTGCAGCTTAGCACCTGTCCTCTGCCATGCTCTACAAGCAGAACAGTGCCCCCATTTAAAAGATGAGGGGCTGGGGATGTGGCTCAAGCGGCAGCATGCTTGCCTGGCATGCGTGGGGCGCTGGGTTCGATCCTCAGTACCACATAAAAATAAAATAAAGATGTTGTGTCCACCGAAAACTAAAAAATAAATATTAAAAAAAGTCTCTCTCCCTCCCTCCCTCCCTCCCTCTCTCTAAAATAATAATAAGAAGAAGAAGAATAAGAATATTGTTCAGAAAATTTAAGTCCCTTTACCAAGCCCATGTAATATAGGAATCTGGTGAAGACTATATACAAAAAAACAGTAATAATTTCTACACATTAGTCATTAGCAAGAATATGTTAAATGCTCTAAATTTGTGGAGAGCAGACAGTGCACATACAAATATATCTGATGACAATAATTTTTTAGATAGCATTCTTAGAAGTATTTCTAAGATGAAAGAAACAAGAACCTCTGTTTAGAGAGAGAGGTGGCCCGAAGGAAAAACATCCAAGCTCCACGCATGACCTCCAGAGGGACATGCTTTAACTCTTACTTCCCTACAACTCCCAGACACCAGGGCTCATTCTCCCATTCAGTGCATTTGGAGGCATTAAGATCTGGAACATATTAATAGACAGGTAACCCCTCACCTGTTTCTAAAGCTTCTTTAAAATTTCTTATGCTTTTATTAATAATAACATCCAAGGAAATCAAAAAAAAATTCTTTCAGCATAGTAAGTGCATATCTACAACCAGACAGGAAAGGTCTGGCATGGCAACCACTTAAATTTTTTCTCCAAATACCTTGTGATTCTTAGGGGAAAATGTTTAGTTTCTAAGCACATCAGGCTGAGTTACTAGCCCCTTGTGCCCCTGTCTAATCTTTGTTTTACTGGGAAACATCACAAATTATTCCCAAGACAAATATGGAGATAATTTTTTTATATATTGCTAAGTGGATGCCTGCTTTAAAAAGGAAAAAAAAAAGTGGAGCTGGGCTGCAGCCAGTATTTCTATTTGCACAATGACACAAGTAAATGGGTTAAGCCCTCCACTAATTAGCTAATGTAGTAGTGCTCCTCAGAGAGAGTCTGCTCTCAAGAAATACAAGATATGATTTGTTCATAGTTATTACCTAATCCTGGACACAGTTCTTTATTGATTTACTTTCATGTCCTGGAAACAGAGACATTTTTTTCTAAGAGGTTAAGAAGGCTTGCACAAGTTCAGGAGAAAAGAAAATGAGGAGGACATTAGCATCCCACAGAAAATGCCCCCTCACCTCACAAAGAAATGGCTGGAAATGTTATCACTTGGGCAGATCTAGCTAATGGAACTGGAACCAACCAGCAGGGGACAGAGTGCCTGACTTGGCTGAGTCAGCTATAGCTGCCTTGAACAAGTGCCTCCTGGGGGAAGTGAAGGGCAGACATAATCCCAGGCAACCCCAGAACAACTCCAAGCATCTGGTACTGCTGTCCATGCCAGTTAAGATAGGGACCTAACTTGGGAGTGCCATGGCCTGTGGAGGTTGGGAATTTTGTGCTCAGATAAATTTTATTACAAAGAGTATTGCTCAAATTTGGCTGTGCTTTAGGATCCCTGGGGAACTTGAAAAAGAAAGCCCCACCTGAACCCAGTAAAGCAACTCTCTAGTGTGGGGCCCAAGACCATGGTTTTAAAAGCTCCCCCGGGGATTCCAATATGTTGTCAAAGATGCTAACCTCTGATTCTGAGTGACTTCCACCCTTCACAGCACATTAGATTGACCTAGGGAACTTGGGGAAAAAAAAATCCCATGCTCAAGCCACATTTAGCACCCATTAAGTTAGACCCAGGCACCAAATTTTTCTTTGAAGTTCCTCAGGAAACTCTATATTGTGCCGGCAAATTTGAGAACCAGGTCATGGCCAGTGATTCTCAACCTTTCATATGTACAGTCTTGTGTTGCAAAATAACCACTTGGCGAACAACCACCATAAATGATGATGGTCCCCAGTGCCTGGTATTTTTACTGTTACTTTTATGTATTTAATATGTTTAGATACATAAGTAATTGATATTGTATTGCAGCTGCCTTTAGTATTAAATATAGCAACATGCTGTACAGGTGTGTAGCCTAGGAGCAGGTGTATAACCTGGGTATGTCACAAGCTGCATACAGTCTAGGTTTATGTACATACATTCTCTGATGTTCACATGAGGATGAAACTACATAACAACTGATTTCTCAGAATTCATCCTTGTTATTGACACATGACTGTTAAAATAACCTAGGACCTTGTTTAAAAAAATGCAGACTCTGACTTAGTCATCCTGGAATAATTTAACAGTTTGCGTTTCTAACAAGCATCTCAGTATTGCCTGAGCTGTTAGTGCATCGATTGTACTTTGAGTGGCAAGACTGTGTAGCACAAGGAAGAATCTATTACTTGACCTACTTGGAAAAAACAGAAAAGTTCTCTGCTACCTAACCTCCCCTTGCAAAATACCTCATTGTCACACTCAGCCAGGACCTGGTCATATTCACTCAGAGCAACCAAGAAAATGATGGAGGTGACACTCTCGAAGCAATGAATCCATTTCCGTCGTTCAGATCGCTGGCCACCAACATCCACCATCCTGCTCAATACAGACAGAAGACACAAAGGTTGGAATACATCACTTTGGAGGAAAGGATACAAGTCGCTATACCATGGAATCAGTGATCTCTAGAGTCCTCAATTTTTCAGAGTGCAAAGGAATCCTAAGTTTAACACGTTTGAGCACCACTGTTTTAGGCAATGAGGGACCACTTAATGTTTCCAAGAGCAGGAGGCCAAAAATGTAAATGAAGTTTCTGAAGACAGAGGTGACTCAGATGGCATACAGAGGAACCTTCATGAGGACACTGGTTAGGATCCTGCTGCAATAGTTCAGGAAGAAAACACAAATTTCACTTGGGTTTGAATCCAACCACCCACTGTAGGGTCAAAGGATAGCAGACACAAAAGGAACAGAGTCAATCTTCCAGGTCTCTTCAGCCTTCTTTGGGCCCAATCTTGATTTCAGAGTTTCTCTAATTTATCCACAAATCCTTGCATTAACTCAATGCCACCCCTTCTTCCCTACAAATACCTGCAAGTGCTTTCTGCCTGGTATGGAAATCCAAAGCCTTTACCTGTGTCTTTGGGTGAGATTTCAGGGACTAATAGCCCAAAGATCACCGACTTGAAAGGCCCAGGGGTCAGGCAGTTCATGAGTCAAATGGAAAAGCTGCAGAGTGGAAAAGCTTATATGCTTGAGAGGTAGGGGCTCTGTCTGAAGGGATGGTTGCTATATCAGCAGTTAAGCGCTGCTGGACAGAGCGCAAGCTCACCATTACCAGGTCCTTGGATGTTTAAAAAGAACTTCGACATCAACTGTTTTAGGTGAAACATCCCAATTTTTAAATGTTAGCTCAGATTTTTTTTTTTTTACTACTGAACAGCAAAGAGAATACATCTGTGGGTCAGATACAGCCCACATATTCTGTTCCTTAACTATTGTCTAGAAAGGTGCTTGAGAAGGCCAGAAATCTAACCCTGCAGGTGCAAACACTTTAAAATGCTGTGCTCACGACTGGCTGTCCCACCTCGTCCCACCACACAGCAAGGAATGGAGCTGGGAAGGAACACTGACTGCAATTGTCAAAAGCTTGGGTTCCATAAGGTCATTCTCTAAAGACTTTAATCTCAATGATCAGAATTCTTCAGCCAGAGAGTGAGCAGGGGGAGGTGTAGAGCTATAAACTAATAGATGTCACTGGTGGATGATGTTAAACCTACTTACCAGTCTCTAGGAAACAAGGCAAACCCATTTATCAAAGCATGAGGCAGATACTTCGAATAAATTTCTTTTTAAAAAAACAAAACAAATGCAAGCTTTGGGAGGCCCTCACTCTGAGAAGGTTTGGGAGTTGCAAGCAACCCTTGGTTCTCAAAAGGTTTAAATATGGACACACAAGGGGCGGCCATTAAAATCAGGGATCTGCTAACAAATACACAGGATCTCTTCTGAGTGCCTCCCCAGCACTACGGTTCAGAAGAAACACTGATATATAACTGTAGATAATATAGGACCTGGATATGGGAGAACTGGGCCTGTGTAATAATAATTTTTGGGAGGAACAAGGGAAATAAATGCAAAAGTGCTTTGAAATTTGCAGTGCTGTGTATATGCCCCCACATTATTATTCATTTTCCCATAATTAAATGCAGTGAAGACCTACCCAATTTGTCATAAAAATACATCCTACATTTGTAGTGGAAATTCATACGTTTACACAGCTGTAAGCAGTTTATCCATATCTGAGGTAATTTTACTATAAATTTTTGTATTCTTATTTTTCTCTTTTTTTAAGGATAAATCTTAAAGAAATAGAGAAAAAGAGAAATATTATTCAACATTAGGGAAAGTTAGTATATTCAGTATGTAGGTGACATATATATATCTGTATGCATGTTACACATAAGATGATTCCAGTTCCCAGAAAGAAATTTCTTTCCTAAGGGCAAAATGGAGTCCCTCTCAATTCTAGAACTTGAAACCTACTACAGTCGTACATGCCTTGGGACCAAGAGGGTCATTCTGCCTATCACATGTAACCCCTACTTAGGGATAACACATTTAGGCCTTGGGCAGACAGATTCTTAAATGAGCACTCCCAGAAGACAAACTTACCGAAAAATGATGTTTTCCAAGTCGAATGGATACTCAATGATGCCTGTGGTGGGCACTCGGACACGAAGCACATCTTGCTGTGTTGGCACAAACGATGGCATGGCGATTCGGTCAATGTCAGTCAGGTAACTGTGATGTGAACAAATGAGAAGCCAAGACTCCTTTTAGAGAAGGGAGAAAAATGCCCATCCTACCCAAGGGAAGTCACCCCCAGCTCACAGTGCTACCTACTAAATTCTATCGCTGACTTTCTTGAGAGTCAACTGAGGGTCAGGCCGCAAGCTCTATCACAGAGCTGCCGCAGTCTGGCTGGGCACAATTCAGGAGCCACTTGTCAAAAGACGCGAACTTTATTTTTAGAACCACACACGCCAAACAAAACAGCTCCTCAGGAAAAACCCTCAGAGCCCAACTGCCACCACCAGCTTCCCACAAGCCTCTCAACCTCCCTCACTCCTCCTACTCTTGAGGCCAATTGGCTGGGTCGCGTGGGCGGAGCCAAAAAAGTCCCCCAATGAGCAGCTCTGTAGTCTGAAAGGGCGGGGAAACAGTCCAATGAGCATCACCGCAGAGGAGCCAATCAGCTAGATGTTGCTGGGGCCGCTGTGAGCCAATCATCAGCTGGCAGTCTGAAAGTTTGCTAGGGCCCCTTTGGCTGTGGCTCTCAACACACAGCTGTGGCTGTGAGGGAGACAGCAGGTCTGGAGGACTAGGATGTGGGAAACAGCTCCACCTAGGGACTCTGACCTGCCACCCAAAGGGTCCTCCCACCTGCCCTCAAGGAAGAGCATTAGGTAATGTAGATGCTGCTCTTCAAAGCTTCTGCTCAACAAATTAGATGGAATTTATAAAAAAAAAAAACACGGATGTAAAGCAGGCCAACAGGAAATTCTTTCAAAGAAACAAGAAGAAAAAGTTTTCCTGTTAAAAACAGGAAACATCTCAAAATAATCCAAAATTTGTCTTAGATTATTGTGGACATATATTAAAGACTTGAACTTAAAATAGATCATTTTTTCTAAGGTGAAATTAGAGGAAACTCTTCAAAAAATGATAAGGCTCTTATAAAAGTCATTTTTAGAAAAATGACTAAATTTTTTAAGGCCCTGGCCAATAATGGAGTTGGTGATTCTGAGCTCCTTCCAAGCCAAGGGCAGCCCTGCCTTCTCCCAGCACAGCATGGATGCCAGAGACTGAGCAGGTCAGCATGAAAGTAAACCAACAGGAACAAGGCCAGCCTGGCTCACTGGACAGCCTGAAATTCAGTTTAAGAAGCCAGGCAGTAGGCAGTCTTCTGTGGCCCACCCCATGCCCAGATACAAGCCCAGGGTTTATTACTGTCTTTGCTGAGCAGTACAGTGGTCTCCCCTTACTGAAGGTTTCACTGTCCACAGTTTCAGTTATCCAAGGTCATTCGTGATCCAAATGGGAAATTCCAGAAATAAACACCTCATGAGGATCTTTTGGTTTGTTTGGGATAAGGTCTCACTATGTGGCCCAATCTGGCGTCAAGTGATCCTCCTGCCTCAGCTTCCTGAGTAGCTGTGACTGCAGGTGCCACCATACCCAGCAACAATTCATAAACTAAGTCATAATCTGTTCTGAGCAGCATAAGATCTGGTGTCATTCTACTCTATCCTGCTGTGGACATGAATCATTCATCCCCTTTTCTGGTTTGGGGCATAGTATATACCTGTTAGACGCTCAGTAGCTGTCTATTACTAGATCAACTGTCACAGTATCACTGCTATGTCCAGGTAACTAATTTAACTAAATAATGTTCCCAATAATTGTTCTATTTTATTGTTGTTAATTTCTCACCTGCCTAGTTTATAAATGAAACTTTATCATAGTTAGGTACATATAGGAAAAAATAGCGTATACATAGGGTTCAATATAATCTGCAATTTCAGGCATCCACAGGGGGGTTCTTAGAATGTACTCCCCATGATAAGGGGGAATCCTGTACATTGCTGTGTGATTATTTTATTTATATCTCATTCCACCAGGCAGTACCTTTCCTGAGAGTAGAAGGCATTGATTGCCCTATAACCCTTACCACTGTGCCAGGCACATTACAAGCATTCATCAAATTTTGGTGAAGTAAACACATGTCCATTTGAGTAGACAAAACTAGCAGATGGTTGTGAGATGCTGATGTAGACCAAAGAAGTGCACAGGTGCCTGCATCCTGCAGATTCTCAAGATCAGACAACCATCACGTTTATGAGTACCATTTTTATCTATGGCAACTCTGTCCATCCCTCTCTCAATGAACTTGCCTCGGTTTTCTGGGTTACACTGAATTCTCCAGCAGTTCTATTGGGTCTTCTCCAAATGGATCAAGAGCCATGGCCAATTCCCAGGTCCTTCACAGAGTAAATAACACCAGGCAGTCTCAGGTAGGATCAGGAAGGCCATGGCTACCTGGCCTTGAGCTGTCCCTGGCTCATCAGGTTGTCCAGGGCAGCCCAGGGCAACCCATACCTCCTTCTTGAACAATTTCTTCCTCCATCTCTTTTCTTTGCCGATCTGACACCTATTGGAGTTCCTTTTATTTTCCTTCTTTGATGGTATTTTGGGCCCATCTGGATTAAGGACATTGAACACTCAGCCTAGGACAGACTCCAAAGGGAAGCTGTTGACCACAGAGATAACATTTCCTTTCCTGTACACTGCTTCGTTCAGCCCATTGGGCAAACTCCCACCTAAACCAGCTCAGAGGGCAATGGCACCTGAAGGGAAAGGGATGAGAAGAGGAAAGAAAAGGGATGGATCTTGGGAAAGTATCTCAAGGCCACCATGATGATGATGTGGGACAAGGCAGAAAGCTGAGCTGTAAAAGCAAGGATCACCACCTGTTCAAGTAAGACCAAAGCATTTAGCCCAGTGACCTGGCTGAAGGATGCATTTCCTTGGGAAATTGTTAGATTCTGCGATCTCTATGAGATGGTTTGCATGAAGGACTGTCTAAACAGAAATTTTTCCACCTTTGGGAGTTAGTTATTTAAAACTACAGCTTTATCTATCCAAAATGTGGTATGTAGGTCATGGAGTCAGCTGAGATTTCTGGATGCCGGGCCCAGCAGTACTTGGCTCTGCCACGAGAGGGCAGCACCAGATCAGCAGCTGACTACCACCGGTGGACCCTGATTTTAGGTTTTAATGCAGTTGGACCTGCTGTCTTCTGATCAGGCAACCAGAAAGACAGAGATATGGAAAGGAAGAAAGTGAAAAACCAGAAACAAGTGTATTCCTTGCTTAAATCATTTCAACACCCCAAATCATATCCACCCACTAACAGAACCTCAAATTTGAGCATTTTATTGAAAATTAAACACATAACAGTGAGGAAAAATTGGGTCTCTGCCAAGAAGGAAATTTGGGGATCCTCAAAGATGGAAGGTTTTCAGGGGATGGTAAGAACACCAAAAAGTAAGGGAGTGATACAAAAAAACAGAGGGAGGTGGTGTTGCCACTGAGCCCTTCCACTTAAGCAAGCAGCAAGAAGCTCCCCTGAAGCATGACTGTGTTTGCCGAATGCCCCCCCCCCCCCCCCCCCCCCGCCGCTAAGGCAGCTGTGGCCGGAGCTCTGTACTCACTATTTGGCAGAGTCTGACAGCTGGTACTCCCGCCTCCTGTCATAACACTCCTGGATTCCTGGATCCTGCCAGACCTGCTTGATGGCTTCCACCTGGTCCCTGCAGAGCACTGAGACCTTGTCAACTTCCACTTCTTTGATTATCTGGGCATTTTCCTACTCAAAGAAAAGAATTTTTCATTAGACAAAAAAGTCAGCTGCTAGGTGATTTGAGGATAAAGACTTGCCCTGGCCCATAGATCTCACTAGGTGTGGAGATGGAGAGGCTCATGGCTGGGGCCATTGACAGCCTTGCCACTCAGCTGCAGCCACAGTAAATGGAGGTGATGCAGCTGTTCAATTCAGCAGAAAGCAACAGAGTCCACGACCTTCAGGTCTAGCAGTGCTTGGGGATGGTTCCACCCGCATGCAACTCCACGTGGTGAACAGACACACAGAACTATCATCCAACTAGCAAACATGCTGCTCATTTGAGTATCTACAAAACCAGCAATTTAAAAATAACATCATAACAAGGGTTGGTTAGCGGAAGCGGGTCCTTGCTGGGTGCAAGCAATAAGGGAGTGCACTGTCTTGGAGAATCAGAAACAATACCATCATTTGCTTTTTCTTCTCTGTCCTTTATTTAAAAAAAATTATAATAGATGACTTTCTAGAGTAGTTTAAAGGTCATAGCAAAAATGAGGGGAAAGTACAGACACAGGCTGCTTTTATTATCATGAGTCAGTGATTAAATTCTTTCCCACTGTGTGAACCACCCCTATTGTACCCCCTCGGCACACCACTGAATTAGCTATATTTATTATTGTCATGATTATTAAATAATAATTGCTCTAATACTGTTGTTTGATTATTGCAGTAATTGTTATGGTCATTATTCCTAGAATTATTACTACTAGAACAGTTACCATTTATTATCTACTTACCGTGTGCCAAAGACACTATATAACCTCATCTCACTTAATCAGTGGAAGGTCCACACAAGGCCAGAGATCCTTCCAAACCTTAGAAAATGAAAATGATCCCATTGGCCTGCATCCACAACATTTCCTAGAGACTCAACATCCCTTCCTTGGCTGTAAGTTGCAGCAGACAAGCAAAGCCTGCTGAGGGAGACAAGACCCTGGTCCCTTCTCCCCCCACCCCCATCTTCCTGCATCTCACACCAATTACGTCATGGAGATCTGGCCATTCAACGGCAGATGTGGGTTGGCAAAGTGATCATTTGGGGCTGTGAGCTCAAATACATATGGCACCCTGTGAACGTTGCTTTCAGCTTGCATTGTTCATCCAACAGGAAGCTGGAGCAGGAAGTCTCATAGACTCACTTGTCTCAGAGTGAACCTCTGAGGGCTGTATTTATAGAAACGTGCCTTTGCCCCACATCCATTGTAAAACTGAATAAACTCTCCTCCCAGGCTGTGGGATCCTCAGCCAGGTAGGATCTCAAGCTAGAAAGAGGCAGGATGGATTGGCAGAAAGTGCCCTGGACCAGGAGTCAGGACCATCAGTTCCAAGCCATGCAATTGGGAGTTAAAAAATTCCCTGTCTTGGTGTCCTCATTTGTTTAAAAAGAAATACTTAGTGATTTTCAGGGGAACCTGAATTATAAAGTACTAAATCTTACATTTTTTTTAGCATTAGCCTTAGTACTGTAGCAGTTGTCTTGTAAACAATATATATATATATATATATATATATATATATATATATATATATATATATATATATATATATATAATGTATTGATAGTCCTTAAACCTCAACATCTCACGCCTCCTGCTGGCATACTGTGTCATCTGCACATTCCTGGTTAGAGAGATGAGGAAGACATGTCCCTGACAGAGGAAGCCACAAGCAGAAGCCTCCTACTTCTTCCCTTTCTCTAGCTACCCACTCTCCCCACGAACAGGATCAAGTTCTACTCTCTAAATTTAAAATCTGTTTTCTTCTTGGTCTTCAAGACAACTCAGGAAGTGCCCCAAGAACAGAGCCAATGTCTTGCTTGTTCTTATAGCCCAGAGCCTAGTGCAGTGCCTGGCAAATAATAGGTGTCTCTGCTGATATGCGCATTCAATATACATTTGTGATACATATAAAATTTACCTAACAGAAAAATCCTAAGTAACCAACAGCCAAAGAATGCAAGGGCAGGGTGCCAGGAGCCTGTGCAGGTGGCCATGGGAGCACAAAGGAGTTTGGGGATGTCTTCGAGGGGGACATGCCCTGATGGGTCTTGGCTATTTGTCTTCCCGATTCTGCCCCTGGTTGAAGGTGGCATTCTGGTGGCAGTTGGCATCCTTGTTTCTTGTGCCCTATGTCTCTTAGGCTGCACTCTTAAATTTACCTGTTAAATGCAACTTAGCCACCAAGAATCAGTGCTGTGACAGGGATGTTACAAATATATTTCTCTCTTCCTTATGACCCAAGGATTGTACCTTCTGGTATATGAAATGAGGGAAAATAACTTTTATTTTTTTGGAGAAGAAATTTTTAAAATCCTGTAATTCACCACCTTCCCTTTTACCCTCCTATGGTGATTATAGAAGAGTCCAGATGGACCCTCTATCAACCAAGGTTCCCAAGAGATTTCAATGAGCAGAGATACCCTAACACACCACAGCAGACATGTTGCATGAGTGAGAACTCAACTTTTAAGTTGTAATCAACAAGGAGTTGAGTCAGCTGAACTTTAGGGACAGTTTTCTACTACAGAATAACCTGCTGTGTGTATCCTAACACATGCTGCAGCGGAGAAGCCCAGCCCTGGGCTCTCCCAGTGGAGAGAGAGCAGATGTTAGGGAGGTGCCAGAGAGGAATGAGGGTTTCCACAGAGGCTACCCGGGGAAGGGGTGGATCTGAGCTCTCTTTGTAGGCCCAGCCAGAAGAGAGATTGTTCAGCTAAGTGAGGGGATTTGGGGAGACTCTGGTTTGAAAGAGGAGGAGAGCTCGGGCTCTTGAGAAGCTCAGTAGGAGAGGGGTTTGGAATAGACTGCACTTACAAGGCCCCGAAGCAATTCAAGTTCAGAAAACTCTTTTCTGTCATCAGCTCCTTCTGGTTGGTTTTCCTACCGCCTACCAATGAAAATCCTTTTCTCTTTTTATCTTTTCTTTTTTTTTTTAATTTCTCATTTTGAAATAATTGAAGACTTAACAAAATGTGGAGCAAATGGTATAAAGACTTCCTCTATGCCTTTCTTTCAGGAGTGGTCTAATGTTAATAGCGTGCTACCTTCCTTATCATTCAATTCCCCCTCCAACATGCCCGTGCACCTAGACACACATTCGCCCACGCCTGCCTAACACACACGAATATCTAGCATAAGTTGCAGACACCTTACCTCTATTTGTAAACACTTTAGTATGGTTTTCTCCTGCGTAATTACAGTACAATAATCAAAATCATGATATCAGCTTTGACACAACATTATTATCTAACTTTCAGACCTTGCTCAAAGTTTGCCATTTATTCCATTAACATCCTTTATCTTGTCTGGAACCCAATCTAGGGTCACATGTGTCACATCTCTTTAGTTTCCATCTGGAAATTGTTTTTCCAGATGAAAAATTGTTTTTGTCACTCTGGGCAAGAAGAGCCAAACAAGTGTCTATTTTTTTAATTGCAAGTCATTATGAGGATGGCTGGTAGAGACAGTTGAGGCCCCAGAGAATGTTCCAGCAGCAAGTATCAGGGAGGCTGGCAGAAGGAAAGTGATCTGCTGTGGAGCACACCTGTGATTCCAGCTACTCAGGAGGCTGAGGGAGGAGTATCACAAGTTCTCTAAGTTACCTTAGCAACTTACACACCATCTCAAAATAAAATTTAGAAAGAAAAAAGGCCTGGGGTGTAACTCGGTGGTAGACTGCTTGCCTAGCATGCACAAGATCTTGGGTTCAATCCCCAGCACTACAAAAAAAAATTCCTTTTTTAAAACAAAAATGTTTATTGAAATATGAGATAAATGACTTTTGTACATGATCAGCAATGACTGAACATTATAAGAGTGTGGTATTGTGCATATTTCCCTCTGATGTGTCTCAAATGCAGGAGCTTGGGCATTTCCAAGGGTATCTTCAAACTGTCTCGACAATGCGCAGACAGAGCAAGGGGCCCCCATGCAACAGGAGAAAGCTTTATGACATTTTAAGTCTGGCTTCTTCATCTCATAGAAAGAGGGGGCAAATGTGAGAAGACGATCAAGGTTGGGAGAATGTCACGAGGCAGGTAGGGGATGTGCTGAGATAGAGGTGACCAGCATCTATAAGTGATGTTCAGGAAGCAGATGAGTTAAGTGTCTGCAGCTTATGGTAAGTAGAGCCCCAAGCCAAAGTAGCACACTGAGCTGAAATTGCCTGGAACACTTTTTTAACCAAAAAGGAAAAAAAAAATCAACCTCGAAGAGTATTACAGGAGCAAACCCAGGGTGTTCAGAAATGTAACCAGGCTCTTGAAGCACAGAGCTCAATGCTGACTTTTCCTCTTTTTTTTTTTTTTCTTCACTCTCAGATCATTAGTTTCACTGCTTTGAAGGGGGAACACAAAAACAGATGTCCTCCATGTGTGTTCTGCTCAGAAATTCCCAGGCCTGTAGTAAAAGGAGATGCTGATGGAGTAGCGCCTTGCTGGCTTCATGCAGGGACCCACGGCTGCTGGTGACAGTCCCTGTCAGGCACAGTGAACCCTTCTGGCTGGGACCCAGAGCCCAGCAGGCTGCCTAACCTCCACCAGGCCCTCTCTATGCAGTTCCCACATCATTAACATGCCCAGACAGTGGGGCCTGCGCCTTCCCTGCAGGGCTGACTTTCTCACTCACTAGAGGCAATGTCACCTCCCCAAATCAGAGGGCTAGAGCTCTTGGTTCTTTGGAGAGATAATTATACATTTTCATAATTTTTGTTGATGTATTTTAACTGACATATCAAAATTGTATTTATGGCTTATAGCATAATTTTTTAATATGTCTGTACATTGTAGAATGACTAAATCAAGTTATTTAACATAATATTACCTCACACACTTTTTTGTGGTGAAAACCCTTAAAATATATTCTAGCATTGTTCAAGTACATAATACACTGTTATTCACTTAGCACCAGGAGGTACAGTAGATCTTGAACACCTTCCTTTTGTCTAGCTGACATTTTCATTGAAATTAA